GGGCGTGGTTTCAGATGTAGACCGGGCGCTTCTATTCTGAGCCGTTGTTTTCCTTCCATTGTTATGATGTGAAGCCAAATGTAATTTTTGCAGACAGATTTAATAACCGGCGGTGGATGTGTGGCAGAGGAAGTGGAATTGTCCGGCACGCAGCCCAGTCATGGATCCTTCAGCCGTTCAACGCTGAATGGAGCAAAATCGCTGGATCATTCTGCACCCACAACAATAACTTCGCTGGCCGGTGAAGATGTCAATTGTCCCGGCAGTGATGGAAGTGTCTGGGAAGAACTGGCTAATCGTGGCAACAATTTCGAATCAACTGGCAATAATAATGATATCACTGATGATGCGCAACAGTCTACTAACATTATGCCACACGCAGTCGTGCAGAATGTGCGGGAGAAGGGGAATTTCGAAATTCCAAGGAATTTACAGGACATTCAAAATCCATGCAAAAGTATTCAGGCTTCGCTATCACCCAAAAAATGCTGTGTGAAGCGTTTTGCGACACCAACAACTTGTCACTGCATTCAAGTGCCACCAGGCTGTCAATGCTCTTCAGCGCATCCGACAAAACCTTTTCCGTGCCATCCATGCTACAGTATCAACACAGAGCACTGCAGCCGTAGCCGCTGCCCAATCTCATGTAATCATACGGTACGAATTTGTGCGTTTTTGTTGTGCACTGCAACAAGCAGCAAAAACGCATATTGTGACGACCCTGTCTGTGTAGGTGTTTGTGTTCATCTGTCCGGGTATCTTTATTAGGCAGCTAGGTAAGCTTTGTTGCTCAAATTCTGCTAGTGTTATTTAAAATTTCGTTGAGTTGAAGGTACTTAGTTATATTGCTTGGATCAGTTGTTATTCTTGGTCTGATCCTCCAACTGTGCTGCTAGCAACTTTCCCAACTACATTATCTAATCGTCATTCTGTTGTTCACAGTTTTAACGTTTAGAATGTATACCCAAAATTTTTGTCAGAGAAGCTGTCTTGTGCAGAACTACATACGCTCAGTAGACCTATTTTATGCACTAAGACCAAAATTTAGCGTTGTTCGCCACCAAAGAATAAACCAAGGCTGGAACGCACCAGGCAGGCCGGTGCGATTAAGCATTTTTTTTCGTGCCGTAGCAAGATCGCAGGGATTCACAGTAGCTAACCTTGTGACATACTGACCCTCGAACTTCGGGAAGTTAATTGTGCAACTATGTGGTATGTCAGTTGTAGATATCGACTTAAGTGACCCGACAAGTGGAAAGTTGCTGGTCGGCAAAAAAGACCGCACTAGAAGAGTTAAATTTGAAATCTTTTAGCCGCACATGAGTAGGGAACATTCCCTTAAAATTTAAACCTTCAGCTTTCCCTTTCCCGAGTTAGTAGTTTTTCCATCAAAATTTTCACGTGTCTGTACGTGAGTACTGTTAAGGAGCTGAATTTGAAATCTTCTGGTCATAAATGAGTAGGGAACATTACCCTAATGTTTCAGCTTTCTAGCTTTTCTCGTTCCCGGGCTAGTGATTTTCGCGCCAAAATTTCCACGCGCTCGTACGTGAGTAGGGAACATTCCCGTAAAATTCCAGCTTTCTAGCTTTCTTCGTTCCCGGGTTAGTGGTTTTCGCGCCAGAATTTCCATGTGCCCGCATGTGGGCGCCGGGCGCTTCTGAGCACCTGATTTTGGCCGCATATGAATAGAAAAAATCCCCCTAAAGTATCGGCTTTCTAGCTTTTTTCGTTCCCGGGTTAGTCATTTTCGCGCCAAAATTTCCACATGCCCATACGTAGGCCCGGACTGTCCTGGGCAGCCGAATTTTAAACCTTTTTGTCTTACACGAGTAAAGGACATTCCCCTAAGGTTTCAGTTTTCTAGCTTTTCTCGTTCTCGAGTTATCAGTTTTCCCGCCAAAACTTCCACGTGCTCTACACGGGGCCCAGACGTGCGTGAGAGTTGATACCGCGGTCCTGGGGTGGCACTTGGTTGAAGAACGCACTGGGAAAATTTCAGCTTCAAAGCTTGCGTGGTT